GGGGGGGGCTACTCCAGCCCCATTGTGGAGGAAGGGGCATTCCAGCCCAGCCAGGCTAGAGCGCCTCCTCGCCCACCCCCACTTTAACTGGTTAACTAATTCAACATGGATTTTATATCCCTACTAGCCTCACAATGCTGGGTACCCTCAGGAAGCGTCACACATACTGCCATCCACACACCTTCACGTACCTACATCTAGCCTGAAATACACAGAGCACTTTCTAGTGCCAGAGGCTGCATGATTTCTGGGGTCAATCGCCTCCAGTTATAACACAGTTCTACTTGCAAGCACCGTCCAAGCCGTCAGTGCACACACTGATTGAGAGAAAACAGGGCTGGGTTCCCAAGAGGAGCTGGGCTTAAAGCAAGCTCCTGCCAATGTTCGACATGTGGGTGTTTTGGAAGCAGCCGAAAATTCGGTCTACAGTTCCTATCCAACCCCATCCCGGAGCCCCTCACAAACCCTAACCCAGGTCCCCACCACACCCTAAGGGAAGGTAACTGCAAAGATCTCTCAGGGCAGGCGTAGACCCAAGGCCCAGAGAGGTCGGTGGCCGAGCAGTGACTGAAGCCAGGTCTCTTCCCACCCAGCTAGTGCTCTCACCCAAGACTGACTGTCCTCTCAGCGGGAGCTGGCTGTCTTTGAGGCAGTGCATCGGCATCTGCTGGGCTCTATTCTTCACACTTCCTGCCATTTGCTGCTGCAGGGAAGGCGCATACATAGCCCAGAAGCCAGGTTGGCATCTGCAAGGCATGTACGCAGACGTTTACACAGCCCGGACGAGCACTAAACGACAGGCTCATCTTTACCAGCAACCTCCCTCCTTGCTGGAACTCCCACACTTTTCACCTGCCAATCTGAAGTGCTTGAAAAAGGTGAGGCATGATCCAGACACACCCCACCTTGTTTTTAAACCTTCTTTCTGTAATTGAGCTGAGACACGGGAGTGTTAAGTGACTAGTCCAAGATCATACAGCAAGTCAATGGCAGAGCTGGGGCTCAAGTTCTCCCCCGATTCCCAAGCCCGCTTCACATCTACTAGCCAACAATGGCTCCTGTTCACTGCCTTCCCACTCACCCTCAGGTCATTACAACGAGTGACCTGGCAGCATAGTCCCTTCCACACGCCATAGGAAATTCTCTGCAGGGACATTTCAGGCATTCAGTCAGTCTTCTCCAGTCTACCCTTGCAGAGCTAAGTGCCCATGCGCAGGTCTGGGCAGTGCAGGACTTCCAGATGCTGCTGGGAATCGAGATCACTATGCTTCCTCCATCCCTCCCACAGCCCTCCGAGTCTGGCAAGCAGCTGTTTGGGGTTTCACTCCTGGCCTTTCAACTGCTTGCTTTCCGGGCCTTACCCAGTTCAACCGTTTTCTCTTTTTTTATGAGCAATCATATGCCTGGGAGAAAACAGTGGGGAACAGAAACGTGCTGCAGAAGATTACTGGCCCCAGACATAGAGCCTTTGTAACAGCAGCCAAGTTCTCCCCACTAAGGCCTATTGCTTCTTTTAGGTCACTGGGGCCTAGAAAGAATCAATGAGGGTTAGCATGAGAGCAGTGATATCCCGATGCTGGGTCCTTTTAGCTGAAGCAACAGACAATGCCATTAAGACTTGTGTTGCTTGTTACTCATTCCCTAACAAAAGCAGTGCACCAGGGATAGCAAGGTGCTGTTTAAACCTGCATCTCGTTGGCTGCCTAAGGAGAGAGGTGAAGAAACCCTGAATGGCCTGGGGGATCAAGTTGCTGTGTCACTTGGCCAAAGCGGCACCCCAAAAATGCACTAAGAATGAACCCATCGCCCCGGCCAAGCTTCCTTCTCTGTGGCTAAACACAGTGCTTTGGACTGGCACTTCCTGAAGCCAGGAGAACAGGTGCCTGGATCCAGTAGGGGTGTTATTCCTGTGCTACAAGTCTGAGCCCCTACATATGGTGGCCCCCTGAAAACCCCATGGATCTGTCAGGGAAAGGAGGAACCGTACGGGCTCTCGACCTAACCTCGTTCACCAGAGCCCCCTTGCACCTTGCAGAAACCAGGCCCGGCATGAAAGCTCGCCAGGCACCTACCTTCTGCGAGCCATGCTGAATAGCCGTGATGCACACGGGATCCACCAGTGGCTTGGGCCGCTTGGCCGACTCCTCGATGATGCCCTGCCATTGCCTTGGCAGCCCAGTGAACTTCTGCTCTTGTTGGTCGTATCCAGTGTGGACTCGGTGCTCAAAGTTGGAGGGGGCAGAGATCTCAATGCGTTTCTTCTTCTTGCTGAACATGGTGACGTTGGCTAAAAGACCTGAGAGAGGGGAATGAGAAATAAACATCAAGGAGGAAGGGGAGCACGTCACATCACGATGGAACTGCGGAGAGCCAGGGGAGGCTGCAAAGATAAAGCTCGCTCAGTCGACCACCGGCAGCCAGGTGGCAAGCTACCTAAAACAGTCAAATGGGACTTCAAATTGCCACTTCCTTTGCCCTAGATATCAGACAGGGACGCTCTCCCACAGCAGACCAGATGCACGTCTCTCCATCCTCTGTCAGAGCACTGCAAAGCATCTGAGCAGTAAGTCTTAAATATCCCAGAGAGGCAAAGTGGGGCACAGGGACAGGAAGGGAGGTGCCCAAGTTTACACTGAAGTCAGTGGCAGAGGCAGGACAACAATCCAGGTCTCCCGACTCCCCGTGTGTGAACAGACTAGAAGAGTTTGGTTTATTGAAATCAGTACTTTTAAAATAGCCTAATCAGAACTTTCGTACCTGGGAAAGGAGATTGATCAGTTCTCTACCTGATTGGTGACTCAGTTAGAAGAACTGACTATCTAGGACTGTCAGTCAATGCCCCCTCTACCCTGTTCCGTCTGTGGGCAGATTGTTTCCATCCATGCTGTTACGTGCACCGAGGCATGTGTGAATGTGCACCACTAACAGAAACACAAAGCCTGGCTGAGGGTGCTCTCCACTGGAATCGATGCTGAGCGGCTGCACAAACACCCAGACTCCAGGGAACACGGGACCCGAGGTGTGTCGCTGGACCGGGTACCTTGCAAGGGATGGCGGCGGCAGTTCGGGCACCAGCCCATTCAACTCTTGACCTGTCTGCGGAGATGGCCAACCAGAGGGGCCAGTTTGCACCAGCAATGGGGAGGTCTGAGATGGGGATGCATGTCCACCATGAACCGGACTGAGAATCACCAACCCATTTCACACAGGCCCAAGTGTCCTCCAATAGCAAACAACTTTTAGGCCACATAGCCGAGAGCCGGCTGACCTGGGAGCTCAGATGCAAAAGGCTCATGACCAATGCCTGGGGCTAGTCACATATCCATTTAAAAGGAGAGATGGATTTTTAGCCCGTCTCCAATTTTACTGCTGTGTTCGTAACAATCTAGCTGCTGGACTTCCCCACTGCCATGCCAGCTGGAGTGAATGCCGCTTCCAGAAGTTTTTTTGGCGCCCAACTTGAGATACTGCTTGAATTTGAGGGGGCAAGGGTTAAGTACTTGGGAGAGAGGGAGGGGGAGGGAGAGAGAGAAAGAATCAGGCTCCTTTAAATTTGTTTCCAATTTGGGCACCAAAAAAACCAGTCACTTTTGAAAGTGTCAAGGCATCAAAGTGTACTAGATTGTAAGCTTGGGGGGAGAGGAGGGGGAACTGGCTGTGCTGTATTTGCACTGTGCTGCACACACGGGGGCTAAGGCATCTAGGCATCGCCATAATACAATAGTAGGGGCCTGCAATTAGTGCAGGCACCAAATTGCATTCCATTTGGAGGGCAAAACCCCGTAAACCCTTTGCTCCTCTCACATGTAAGCTTCCCTGATGAGTAGGTTCTCCCACTGGACAGATCTAGCCACCTGGTTTCCACAAGTGCCTGAGACATTTATGAGATTAGTTCTCATGCTCCTTTGAACACTTGGAGGAAATATCTAATCCCCCGCTCCCCCGGTTGTAATAAAGTCAGAATAACTGGGACAAACCAGCTAAACTCTCCTACATGGCCAATGTTCCCTCTGTTTCCATCCATGTGCAGAATCAATTTTGTGATGTGCATCAAGCTACGTGTGGATGTGCACCATTAGCAGAAACACAGGCTGCCGGCTGTGGGCGCTGACTCTGAGCTGGGCGGCTGCCCAAACACTCAGCTTCCAGGGAACTCTGCACATGGCTAATGGTCTTACGCACAGTCTTCTTTTCCTCCCTTATACGCCCCCACACCTTTCCCGAGAAGTTCCCCATCCCAGTGCTCACATGGACACAGGAAACAAACAGCAGCTAGACGAAATGGGAAGGAGCCCCACCCACCGGGCCAATGCAGCCACGCTGTGCAGATGGCAGGTATGTCACGGCAGCTGGGGCAACGTGCCCAAGCACGCCGCAGCTTCAGGCATGTGACAGCTCTGCAGCTGGGCAAGTTCTGCTCTGACAGAGACTGAGGACCAGAAAACGCCCAGGAGAAATCCAGCCCATGCCACTGCTGGTCTGCTGCCGTGCAGAAAGAGACTGGTACGAGAGAGCAGCGCAGTCTGGAGCCCCATGCGGACAGACCAGGCAGTACGGTGTGCCCCAGACAGGGTGCAATGAAGCCAAATCCTCAGAGACTGGTGGTCACATTTCAGGTCTCTCCATTTGCCTGATCCCACAGGCAAGAGGATGCGCAGCTTTCCAGGGCCCCAGTTGCTCACCTGGACCCTGCACTGGCTCCCACTGAAGGAACAGTGTGAAATCTCTCACCTTGATCCTATCCCTGTCCCCGCTTCCACCTCTGGGTTCTCTCCTATGCCCTTCCCGGCCACTGGTCTTTCCTCCTTCCAACCCTTCACTTTCAGATGCCTTCCCCAGATGACCATCTCCACAGCCACCTGCTTCGCCTTCTTGCCCAGGGGTCCAGTTTAAAACTCTGGTTTTCCAAAGCGTTACGCCAAGCCTGCTTTGCATCATCGTCATTAGTTTCCCCTCAAACTCACTCATTTCCTTCCTAGATCAACCTACTGTGGAGGCAGAGCACACATCCTCAGCATGACTACTCCTGCATACGCTTTGGCATGCTCCTTCTCTCCTAGGAGGGGGCACGGAGCTATTCCTGTTAGTACTGGGATCGTGCATTTCACATGCTTCATGGAAACAGACTTCTGAAAAAGAACGTACATAACTGGAAAATGCTTTATGCAAGATACTCTTGTAAGGAGACCCTGCTGAATGTGTATATAGCTGCGGGCATGTATCATTCATGTATTTGACAGTAGAAATACAGCACATAAACCCATGTTAAAACAGTGATGTAAGTATGAGGGCCATTAATGGTATTTCAGGATCTTGACAGCCCAGAGGCCAACAAAAAAAAAGTCCCCAAACTCCTCCTTCCCCCCCATCCCCCCATCCATTTGATGGACTTGTTTTCCCTGTAATCCTAGGGGAAGAGGGGTGATGGCTGGTCCTAACATGTGATCAGGGCACCTCATGCTGGAATCCATCTTGGATGCTGCTATTTTCCACTGAAAGTGAGAAAAAATTAAATTCAACACAAGCCTTTGGCAAAAACCTATAGAAAGGTGGGAGCGAATAATGGGGCTGCCATCGGGATACCCCTGCTGACCACCCAAGATGGCGGTGGAAACATCTAAGGCTGACCATGAGGAAGGATCAAGCCCAGACTCGGAGGCTGGCCAGTCTGAGAAAGCTGCTTATCAGAATAACGGAGGGTGAGAGATTCCACGTAACCAGTTTTAGCGCATGAGGCTCAGCTGGCGGGTTTGGTTTTATCGGGCTCAGTAGCTTACTTTATTCTGTGCACTATTACTTATATCCACTTGGATCCTACCGTATTTTCCGGCGTATAGGGCGACTGGGCGTATAAGACGACCCCCTATCTTTTTAATTAAAAGATAGGGTTTCATCTTATACCCCAGCGCCCCTCCGCCTCCTTTGCTCCCGGTGTCCCTGGTCTGCTGGAGATGGTCCCTGCAATAATTCAGTGACAATCTATAATAGCTCTGATATGCACCAAACTGCAGCACCTCTGGTACTTTCAACATTAAGGTCTGTACAGTGAACAGTGGTCTGATTGCATCCTTGCCATCATAAACTTCTGGTCCTAGAAAAAAAATGTTACTTCTCTGTTCAGGCAAAATCTCACAAATAGTTTAACAGGTAACATTACAGACTGGGAGCGAAATGAATTGTTCATGTTGGCTGAAGTGCCTTGTTATGACAGTATCTCCAGCAGGGCCCAAGCCTGAAAAACATTCAGACATAACACAAGATCCTGGTCCACATTTTTTAGAAAGCTTCCCCTCAAGAGTAAGTCAGAAAAATGGGAAAATAATACAGGGAGACAGCCCATGCGCGCCTGGGATGCCCCCCCGCCGGCTTCCCCCGAGGCTTTCAAAGCCGCGGAGGGGCTCCGGCGGCAGGGCATCCGGCGTACAAGACGACCCCCCGATTTTTGGGGGATGTTTTTTAACTTCAGAGGTCGTCTTGTACGCCGGAATATACGGTACTTACCAAACCCAATAAACTCACATTTGTTTATTAATAAAGCTAGTGTAAATCACTGTTACCTGGAAGGGGTGGGGAGGCAGCTGTGCAGCTCTCTCTTTACATAAGGGGGCAAACAACATGAGCTTCTGGGGGTCAGGGCCCACTGGGGCTGTGCGGAGACAAGTCCCTTTGTCTGAGCCTTCCCGGGGCAGAGCTGAATTCAGTGTCTGTATTACTGCGGAGAGCTGCAACCCATCTCTGAGTCAGTCCTACCCACCGGGCTCAGCAAGACAGAGTAAAGGGGCACCCTGGAGGGCAGGAAGGTTGGCTCAGCAGTATCTTAGCACATTAAGTGACAGTCACAAGGGGATCTCTGTGTCGGAACTGTCACAAGTATCACATACATTTCTGACACTCAGAAGAACAGCTGCGCAGACTAGGGATGCAATAGCGTAGTCGATCAACCAGTTAGCAAAAGTTTATAGGTTAATGCTATAGACCACACGCATTTCTCCCCCCTCCTCCGCCAGTACACTTTTTAGCAGGCTGGTCAGCAGCCTGGCTCAGTCCTGGCTTGCAACAGGTCCGGGACCTACCCCCGCTGCAGCTTTGCATTTAAAGTGTATTAGGAGGCAGGTAGGCAGATAGCCCAGCTCAGTTCCGACTCACCCCAGGTCCAGGAGCTCAGACCCACCCTGAACAAGGGCTGCTGCACCCCACGCTGCTGCCTCTCTCTGAGGCAGCAGCGCCGGGTGGCAGCCAGCCAGTCTGCGAAGGGAGCTGGTTTTTAAACTGGCTCCCCTCATAGACCAGCTCCCA